TGACCATGAAGTCTATGTGCTAAACGTCGATGGTTAGTTATTTCGTAGCAAAATGTTATCAGAACCGACGCTTCACTCCCGCGTAACCACCACCAGTCGCCCATGGACTAACGATACTGTGAGGGTTGACTAGACTCCTACGCAGGCTTAGACCCGCACCCTCGGATTACAACTCAGGTTTCTGATCACTAGGGACACAGACCAGTGAGTTGCATCAAAGCGTCGTTATCTTGTTGGTTTGTAGTTTTGCATTATTTTCTGCACACTTGATGCATGTGTAAGAGCTTTGCTGTCTAATACTCTCCAGAAACCACTTACGACAGAAAAAACATAGTACAGTTTCTTGTTTGAACAAACTTTGAGTGAGGCGCACCTGCTCAGCAAGTTGTCTTATGTGAACTCTTGTTGGCCGCAATGTACTCAACCATTGTGAGGTATGTAAACTCACGATCTTTGCACCAAAGTTTTCTCAGCTTCTAGAGCTGGATTGGTTACGTGTACGAAAAGTGGCAGGCGATGAAACAGGAAAGTTATATGCCTTTGCTTGATGTAAAAGTTTAAGTGAATTATAGACATGATCTTTATCGTAAGTGGGTACGTGCAGCCCCCAGCTAACCCGCTTTTTGTTAGCCTTCTTGTCAACCTCCTAAGTGTTCTGCAGCGTAGAAGATAGTAACATGAATACATCGCATTTCGCGACGAAGAAAACACGTTACTCAATATTATTCTCAGATAAGGCCCTGCTCTGGGCTTTAAATTATGCTGCTCACAGTAGAATCCGTTCTCTTCACTTTCTCTTAGCAATCGCGGTCGACCTATCAGTACTCAGGTTGCTCCTAGTAGAGTCCACCCAACAGTCAAAGGTTGTATTTAGAGATAGAGATCTGCGATTCTCAGATTATATTACGTGACTGTGATCACTTTTAGGCAAACCCAAACAAGGGATATTACTAGTGGATAGTGTAATAAGTTTCGACATGAACTGCGTAGTGCACACTTTCGCCGACTTTTATATCCTTAACGTTTCATTTCAGCTATAAAGGACTTTGGTTTGAATACCTGACAATGTATAATTTTTTGCGTTATTTAAAACTTATTAACACTTTTCTTGTCGAGGACAACCTCACGGGAATGCAAATAATCGATACCCTAACCATCCGAATGCAAAGCCAAGTAGACGCTCACTTGCTTAGGTTAGAGACCGAGTAAGTGATTGCCTCCGAGGCAGATAGTCGGAATGTAGAAACAGAGGCTGGATGAAGGGTGCAAGCTCTGACGGTTGCGACTCAGTGGTTTTAGCTGACGTCCCAAATGCACGGGATGTACGATCAAACAATTGGCAGGTGGTCCTATGGTGTAAACATTGCAGGCGAGCAACAGCTATTATCTATGTGACATGAAAACCAACTACAGGGCCTCTAGCCAACTCGAATGCGCGGCAACACATCGCTAGCTTGCTAGGTCTGAGGTTGTCCCAAATAACTACTGAGATGGATCAACTCCTGTATGTTGAGACGAGGGTTATTCGTACCTTAAGTTTGGCTCCATCCGTTCAATAAAACTCGGTTTATCATATTGATCAACGACCGTTGTGAGTTTCAGCAGTGGAAATAAACGTAGATCGCTCATCGACTGAACTAAGATAAGGGAAAGTGCATGTTAACATCGAGTCCAGTATGCACGATTCCATTTACTATTTCACCACCACCAAGTTTATTCTTACAACGGTTAACCGCAGGTCCGAATAGAATGAAATGTTTTCTACTAGAAGCAGAATAGTTGTTAATATATTTTTGAAAATAATAGACCGAGCTTTGAATGATTTATATTATTTTAAAAGATAACGGGCATCCTTTTGTGTAGCACAGTTGTTTGATTGCCCGGTCCATCATGAAGTCGTTACCCCGACACTGATGCCTGTGATGTGGTGGTGGCATGTGATCCAAGGAGTCTACTTCTACCGCACTGGACACATGTGAAGTTAGGTATGGATTCCACGGCTGAATATGCAAACATAATCAGCGTAAGGTGAGGGAAGCCATCCAGAAAAGCTTAACACGTTCTGTCTTTTGGAATGCATTTTGCACGAGCTGAACTACTGTTCCATACAGCTGATATTCATCTTGCAATATTTAATGTTTCTAACAATAAATGACTTCACAAAGCATTTCCTGGGTCTCTCGAAGCGTCTAGCATACATTGTCTGAATCTGCCTTTATACTTGGAGGGAAACGCTCACAAACTAGCATCAAATTTAACGGTCATCGAATCTGAGACAATCTCTTGAAATCCCCGTAAGTTATGCTGCCAATTATGACAGCAGTCTGTCGAAATGACCGAGACTTTCTTATGAGAATTACTATGATTCCACTTAAATCGAAGTTCGGAATCTAGCTTTTCGATATTACCTTACAACCATGGCGAGCACACGCGACGCATACCAAGGTAAATAGTGCTGTGCACCAGAAATCCTTCCTTTGGTTGTCTTTAAAATTGAGACAAAACAACTTACGAGGTCGCGGTCCTCCACACCATGCTGAGTCAATAGGGAAAGAGACTTCAGCGACATTTCAGTCGCTTATACCATGTCCACTTTTAGTTAACTTCTGTGGTTCGTGTTATAATGAGGTTCCAATAGATGGAGGCAACTGTGGTGTGGGTATATAAGAATGGACTAGATAAGGTGTACTGTTGGAATTAAGCAGATTCCGGGTGATGTTTATTTAGTATCATTCCGAAGATTCTGTGGCTCCTGATGTATTCAAGGCATCTTGACATAAAAATAATCTGCTAACTGTACTAGGTTGTCTGGTTACTTAGGCAACCAAACATGCTCTTGTTACTACCAACGTAGTACCGTGGGTGGCAATTGTTGAAAATTATGGATAACTTTCTTCAGGTGTATCACACATCATCCCTTATGCCTCAATTGAGACAACGCAAGTGTTCTTAACCTCGGTTTTGTCGACGCCCAGTGGCCGACGCGATCGTGATCAGACAGCGGGCATGAGTCGACCCATTACACTTTTGTTGTTCACGGTTTATGTCGAGGCAAAGTAAAAGTACCCAGGTGATTGGGCCCAAAGGAACACATGTGTACATAGCTATGCGGCATTGGTGAGCATGGGGAACAACCAATTGAAACGGTACAAATTACAGTTTCTTCGAAACATGATGGAATACAAAGGAGAATACGAAGATGAACGTCTACGCAGCAACAGTGCTGAGGCCGCAATCTCCGGGTATATCCTGAGCTGACATTGGGATTGAAGTAATGATTCTTCTTAACGCTTACGATTCTAGAGCAAGGAGGAGAGTTATGGTCAGCGCCAAGTGGGATGCAGGGTCATATAAAGTCAGTGTTAGAAATAGTATTCACAGACCGGACCGAAGGAGGTTGAGACGACACCAGTGACAAGGAGGAGGATCTGGAGTGCAGAATTACGGCGCGGCTAGCGGTATAATAAAGTAGTGGGACAATGCACTAAGTGTTTGCAAAATCACATAGTAGAAGGCAAGAAAATGGGTACCTGTGGTTGTAGTGTCCTACAAGCATACAGAATTGCGTCCATGAGACGTTTTACAGCTGCGTCAGACGTATTTTATCTGGTTGATAGTTTTGAAACAAATAGTCTTATCAAATTAAATGCTTCAGGTCAATTTGAATAAAGTTATATCTGGCAATTACCGTTTTACGTAAACAGTTGGAAGTGTGATCCTCAAAAATCATCGGGCACTTCGGGAATATTCACAGTTTCCACTTCTCGCTGAAGTCAATAAGGAGTTAAAGGAAAATGACTTGATTAATTATGCTAGTTATTTAAAACAAATCCATAGAGAAATGAAAGACCTGATTGACATCGAAATCTAGGTACGGATTTTTAAACCATTTAATGTACAGCCAACCACCTTTGCTTGAAATCCTCATAACGCTACAAAGTAACACATTAAAATATCCTAATTTACACAGTATAAAAGGGCTTTGATATAACGTCTTCTTACTCTAACAGATATCGCAGAATTTAGAAACAGCTGAAATATGTTTCCTTTAATTTACGTCAACATACATGGTTGAAGTTGGGTAATGCAGAGTACTTTCTATAATAAAATTTAGTAACAGATTGTGCATCACAGCAGGAAAGGACTGTCGACTCTCTGTGCCAAATCGTGAGCAGGATATAAGCAAACTTACTCAAGAATGTCAAGGCTTGTGTCAAATGTTTGCGAAATATAGTTAAGTTGTTATTACAACTTGTTAATCCTCATGACTTACGGTTAAAAATTAATAATAGTAAGAATAATAATAGTATTAATAACAGTAAATTGCTAGAAAATGCCGAGTCAAATCTGCATTAGTTCATCTAGGTTGACGATTCTCTTGTCTCAAGGACGAAATGTTGTCATATTGCAAGCCTAAAGAAAAAGGATTTGTGTATTAAATGTTTGGAAATATTAAATCCCTGTCGTATTAACATGTATTCCATAATATCAAAGGCCATTTTATTCAGTTATGATGACTTTTATCTAATTACAATCAGTGGTTCACTCTTCCTACACAATGGATGTTATCTGGACGCATTGCAGTTTCGAACATTAATTTTGTGCTTGAAGAAGCAGTGAAACTTGCATTTATAAAGTACCCATGCTAACAAATAATAATTTTATGAACAGTGGAAATCACAGACTAAGATTGTTTTGTCCATCGAAGTGCAAAATCGTTGTGATCACGGGTGGGGGCCATGCGAAATGAAATGTTCAAAGAGGAAAGCGGTTAACAAACATTTGTTCCTATATGCATGTACATTTGTGGATAAAATGCAGTTAGATTTTTTATAGCCAGTAAATGTCATCTGTCCGACCGAAAAAGTCAATAAATCAGGATATGTATGCCCTAACTAGCGCTTATTTTTTCGCGTTCGCCGTAAACGCAGATGACGCCCGAATGAAGCGCGCGCCTTCAATCGCCATTCTGAGCTAGCTGGTTAGCATAATTAGCTTAACTAAGCGGTAAGGTATAGCTTGACACGTTCTGCATATCGTGGTGGTCCCCTCCCCCCCCCCCCCCCCCCCCCCCCCCCACCCCCCCCCCCCCCCCCCCCCCCCCCCCCCGCAACATTTGGAAACAACGGACAAAATGCATGTTTACACTCAACAGTCTGTGTG